GACACAGAATGCCGAGCTCCAACGCCAACTCACCCTGGCCCATGATCACATCCGCCAACTCCAAGGAGATCAACCCCTGCCTCCCCACCTCGCGGCACAACCTGTCGCCCCTTTCATCTATCGACAACATCAGACACATGCCACTGCGATGCATTTCTCACTACCACCACCAGCCAACACGATGTGTCAGGGACCTTTGCCCCGGCTCCCCACTCTTTCTAGTGGTTCTGCTAGTGCCACTACTTCCTCTGTCCTCTTGTTACAATCGGTTTTCCCTCTCCCTACCCATTATCAGCCACCAACGTATGTTCCACAGTTTCGACGGGATCGCCTCCCACAGTTTGACGGCAGGTCCTCCGAGCTCCAAGGATGGATCACTACTGCTGAGGAGCAGCTTCGCTACCATGGTGTCGCCATGGAACTGTGGCCCGTCGAGATGTCCTCTCACTTTATAGGTTGTGCAGCCTCCACCTGGCGCAACTTTCTCGCCCTTCGCTCACAACGCGGCATACATGAGGGCATGTCTTATCCCGAGTTTCGCGATTTCTTTCAGCAGTACTTTTCCCGTCTTGCACCCACTCGCGACCTGATTAGTCGTGTGGTTGAGATCAGATGGCTTGGTGGCAACAATGCCTTAGAGTCATACATCACGACATTCCACCGTGTACGCGCTCAGATTCCCATCACAGCCATATCCAAGGACACCATGATCCAGCGATTCCGGGCAGGCCTACCCCAGCCATTCCAACTGCAGATGTTGGCGTATTCGATCCCCACCTTACCAGAGGCTTTCAACATTGCTAGGGCTATTCATCTCACTTATGCTCCACTCGTCGGCCCCTCCCCTCAGTCCGTCGCTGCCCATTCCGCTACTACTGCAGCACCTCGCCCCTCTCAGCCTCGACAGTCCTCCACATACCGTCGTGACCCTCGTAGAGGCTTTGGACGATCCCTCTCTCGTCGCTTGCATGCCCTGCTTCGTGACCCGTCGAGCATTAATGATGGCACTGCCTCAGATGATTCTGTGAGTGACCCAGATCAGGGAATCGACCCTCAGTTCCCCACGGAGGATGACGCCTCTCCCCATGACGACCGTCTTGCCCGGGCCCTTTCCGCCCTCCTCCGACGTCAGCCCTATTCCTCCAGGACTCACTCCACGGTCATTCAAATACCCCTCCCAGGCGCAACGATGTACATCTAGACTAGTCCACTTGAGGCCACGGACTTCAGGGTTGGAGCGTTACTTCGGCGTCACGCTGCTAAAGCAGCGCCCTCTTGCGGACAACTGCGAAAGAGCAGCACTGGAGGAGTAGACTAGTACTTCTCTCCCCTCAACACCTTTTTACCCCTCCCCACCTTCTTTCCTGTCTCCACCTGCATAACCTTGCATCCAGTCGGCTATTGGCAATGACTAGTCCTTCCTTACACGGTGGTCGGCAGGTGCGTCATTCTCTTTTGTACAACCTTGTAATTGTACGTCAAAAGACAGCGCACCTGCCGACCCGGATAAGCTTCTAAGGAAAGTGGGTCCATTTACTCTCAAGTACCAGGTCTTGCGGAGATCTTTCTTCTGTGTATGAGTCTCCTTCTTGCTGTGTGGCATGTGTGATGATAATCGTGTACCAGTCTGGATTTGATGTGTCAATCTCTGGAGGTGCGCTAAATATCATTACATCGTTGTCAATGTCTTCCATTTGAGGCCACGCAGGTGGCTATTGCCTATTCCTCGCAGGGAGAAGGAGTCGACAACCAAAGGCAGAAAAAAAGATCGACGGGACGTCTTCAACGCCGAGACGGAATATAAGTCGTCCAGAGGAGGGAACAGTGACGCCAAGCGCACTACGGAAGGCGAAAAGAATGCGTCGGAAGAGTGAGAATGACGATGACATCATTGGCTACCCACACATAATTGAAATCGCGCAAGGCAGGGAGAAAACAAGCCAAAGGAGAGGAAAAGGAGGGAGACGTGTAGAAAAGAAGACATGGAGGCGGAAGGGAAACGAGTCATGGGGTGATCCGGCGTTCGAACTCTGCTTGGCGAGAGTGTTCTTTCACACGAGGAAAGGCCAAGGGACTGGTGTGTCATTGCAACAACTTGCATTTGCAGAGATGGTAATAAAAAATGAGGTATTGCAATGCGCGAAGAAAACTCGAGTGGACGAAAAAATCTCGGAGTTGACAAAGATTAAAAGAGAAATTATTGCATCCGTCGAGGCACGAGACACATGTGTGAACTTCAACATCGGGAATTTGTGATCGGTTAACGACTGTGGTTGATAAAACACTCATCTTGTTCCAATCAGGGTTACCGACCGAACAACGTGGTGACGTTCGTGCCACATTGTTTACTGATGAAGACTACACGTTTCAACACAAGGCTACTTCATCAGCAGTGAAGGAGAGCATATGAAAATGACAAACAACACATGATTCAATATGCTCTTATATGGTGAATAAAGGACAACAATTGCAAGAGAGAAAGTTGTAATTTGGAGAGAGAGAGACAGAGAGATAGAGAAATAGAAAAATACATAAATAGAGAGATAAAGAGAGAGAGAGAGAGAGAGAAGAAAAAAAAAAAAATGCAAGGCAAAAAGTGGGAAAAACAGTTTGAAACCCCTTTCATTGGTCTACTTTTGCATTCAGTTGTTGAGGCTTTGTCATTCGTGTCTCCACTTCTTAGATACTTCATATACATTATACATAAAATGATGTTGTGCAAGCAAGAAAGGGAAACAGCTCTGCGATAAGATGCTAAATCTTTTGTTTATGAATGTAGTTGTACAAACTGTTGTCGTTTTGTCAATAACATATTGAAGAACGATTTTTTTTTTTTTTTTTTTTTTTGTAAAGAATAGGTTATGACCAGTGCCCGTTCTAGGGAGTGCTCGAAATAGACCTCCCTCACCAGAACGATAATCGTGGTGCAATTATATCTTTATTTTGTTGTCAGAATGAAACTGTACATTACAATCGATATTGTAAGTGTACTTTGCTCCTCCTCGTGCATCTTTATAGTGTTGGTTTCGTATACACATCATGATGTCTTTCGCTGCAACTGATGGATAATGGATTATATTGTTCGTTTTACAAACGAGTGTTTTTTCTCTTTCTTTCTCTCTCTCTCTCTCTCCGTGGTTTGCCCCTTTCCAACAAAAATACACACACACACACACACACACACAAACACACACACACACACACACACACACACACACACACACACACACACACACCTATATACACACAGACTCAAAAATATTGGATACACATAAAATTTAAAAAAATGACACAAATTGAGAGAATATGATGTCTACAGCTCTTTTCAACATATGGCACTGCACGTTGAACACGTACAAGTAACATGTGACACTGCATGTGACCCTCTCACAACCGCCTCCTTGTTCTTTGTGGTAAAGGGTATCTGTGAATTACAATGTATTGCAAAAGACAAAAACCTTTCATTAAATGCACCGGACAACAATCGCACCTTTATTTCTTGATTTAAATACAATTTTATGACTAAAGGAGTGTGAAACAGTCTACGAAGGATTCTGAGTAATCATCTTATATTCTACGAACACTACATGTCCGTTCGCAATGTATACTCCTTTGACACGTCGTAGTCGACAGGTGCGTTGTAATATCATACAAAATATTGCAGTCATATTGAAAATGAATACGCACCTGCCGACCAACGTAGCATTGATGACAAAAATAGTTAAAATAATGTAGTTGCAGAACATTATTATCAGAATCAGTGAGAGTCATGTGTTGCTTTGACAATCTCTTTGTTTAAAGTATGTTGGCACACACTTGTCGACGACATCACCCCTGTATCATCCCTGTTCCTTGGACATGGGGAAACCCACACATGCCATAACATACGTAGGCTACAAAATACAATGTAATTCCTTTTTTTCACCGCTAAATTTTCGAAAGTGAGCAGCAACCAAAATGGAGTCTTCTCAGTACAATATTGTGTCAATTTTGTTGTAATAAAGAGTGTTGACTATTCGTAGCGGACGAATAATTTTTTTTTTTTAATTTTTGAACGGTGTTGGTAAACTGTTTGTAAATAAACTTTCAACAATTTTTAAACAGGAGAGGCTGTTTTTATATAAATTTTCAACATAACTTCAACTGATTAGGTTGTTTTTATACACATTTTCAACATAACTTCAACTGATTACAAACTGCTGGTCCCTCACTGAAATGATATTGTCCCGTATGACCAGTGTATTCAAAAGGAAGATTTCATTAGGATCCCATGTGTTCAACATGATACCCTCATAAATTGTGTAGGGAACCTGATTTTCAACAGCTGAATGTAGTACAAATCATACAAAAATTCTGCATGTTCCGAAGCTGCATTTTTTTTGTTGCCCTCTTCTCTGATTGTGCTTGTAGTTCCAGAAGCCCTGAAGAAGTGCAAGTTCGATTATCACCCTATGCTAAAAGTACAGTGAATAAGACTAAAAAAATAGAAGATCAAAGTCTTATTTCTTTTGACCGACCGTCTAGTCTCACAACCATGCGAGGGTAGTATGTACTCAAAGAATATAAGATGATGCGTGGAGTAGGACCACAAAAAATATGAGGGTCCGGTGAAACCCCACCTTTGTACTAGAATCCGACTTTTATATCACGACCTTATCGGATTGGAAAAATAACTTTTGTACAGTGCTGGTCAGGGAGCGTTGTGATCAGGACAAGTAGGTAGTCTACGAATAATCGAAGACAGGAAAAACACAAAGAAGGTACAAACAACGGAGGAAGAAGCTATGAGGAAGATACGAAGAATATAAAAGTACGATATAGTTACGGACTTTCATCCGAACATAACACGCGATCATTACAATTGCATTTAGGGCAACTTCCAATGTAGCAAACATGAGCAAAAGATGTATGAAAGCTCACAAAGGTGATCGTGATCATGTAGGTTCATTAGCCTTTGCTCTCATGTCTTATCTGATTTACTCTTTTCACCCCAGTAGCTTCTCCAACAACCACAACTCTAACTCTGACTCGTTATTATGCGCGTACCGCCTACGACGATCATCCACACAATTCACTACTACCCATTTGACACAAGTATATCACTTCCGTGTCAAAGGTACTGACGCTCGTTCACGCACAGAGAGAGAGAGAGAGAGAGAGAGAGAGAGAGAGAGAGAGAGAGAGAGAGAGAGAGAGAGAGAGAGAGAGAGAGAGAGAGAGAGAGAG